AAAGGCTAAGAGAGTTTTGCCATGAGAATTCACTGGTCACAGCAAACACCCTCTTCCAACAACACGAGAGAAGACTCTACCCATGGACATCACTAGATGGTCAGCACCAAAATCAGACTGATTATATTCTTTGCAGCCAAAGATGGAGAAGCTCTATACAGTCAGCAAAAACAAGACCGGGAGTTGACTGGCTCAGATCATGAACTCCTTATTGCCAAATTCAGACTTAAACTGAAGAAAGTAGGGATAACCACTAGACCTTTCAGGTATGATCTAAATCAAATCCCTTATGACTATACAGTGGATGTGAGAAATAGACTTAAGGGACTGGATCTAATAGACAGCCTGATGAACTATGGACAGAGGTTCGTGACATTGTGCAGGAGACAGGGATCAGGACCATCCCCGTGGAGAGGAAATACAAAAAGGCAAAATGGTTGTCTGAGGAGGCCTTACAAATAGCTGTGAAACGAAGAGAGGCAAAAAGCAAGGGAAAAAAAGGAAAGATATTCCCATTTGAATGCAGAGTTCCAAAGAATAGCCAGGAGAGACAAGAAAGCCTTCCTCAGCGATCAATGCAAAGACATAGAGGAAAACACAGAATGGGAAAGACTAGAGGTCTCTTCAAAGAAAATTAGAGATACCAAGGGAACATTTCATGCAAAAATGGGCTCAATAAAGGACAGAAATGGTATGGACCTAACAGAAGCAGAAGATATTAAGAAGAGGTGGCAAAAATACACAGAAGAACTGTACAAAAAAGATCTTCACGACCCAGATAATTACAATGGTGTGATCACTCACCTAGAGCCAGACATCCTGGAATGTGAAGTCAAGTGGGCCTTAGAAAGTATCACTATGAACAAATGTGATTACTACATAACAATTTTTTCTGTGACATTGTTTTTAATTTAAAAAACGAAAAAATTCAGAAATAAGCTAAACTTCCATAAAGGAAGGTAATACCCTATCATTACAAAAGATGAATTAGATCTGTCTCCACAGTATGGTGAAGAGTATGAATGACAGATACACACACGTGTTTACATACACATGAAGAGTCAATTAGTGGTACAGCAAGCTGAGAATAGTGGTAATTTCTGGGGAAATAATAAGCGGGTGACTCTCTGATAGGGAAACTTCTACTTTCAATTTTATTGTTAAATTTTATTTTTAAAAATTACAAAAATTTTTTTCAGGTAATGAACAATTCTTCTCTATATTCAAATTACCTTAAATCAAATTCAACAACTTTGCTTTCACTCCACCTTCAACATCCTTACTTTCCAGCTTTTGGTACTGATACCAATATTATGCTACCATTCATCCAAACTTACAACCCCAAAGTCTTCTCTGTTTTCTCAACTTCCCATGCATAAACAACGAATGCTCTCTTTAAAACGCACTCCATTCTCTTCATTCCTTCTTGACTACAAAAAGCCAGACTTCTATCACCTTATAACTAGACTACTAGAGCTTTTTATTGTCCCTGTTTCCAATACTTTCTCTCTAGTCTACCCACCAAAGCACTGCCAGATTAGCAGTCAGAAATTTTTATATCACTTCTCACTCTCACTCAAAAGCACCCCCATATGAAACAAAATCAAAACACCTCACTCTTTCAAAGCCTGGCACAGTCAGCCCCCATCTATCTCGTGCACTGTCATTTTCTACCATCTGCCAGGAATGTCCTGCTCCAGCCAATCCCTGAGAAACATGCACATAACACCTCTGTTCACAGTGCTTGTCTCAGTTTGTGAACTCTACACTAATGAAAATAGACTCTACTATGGATAGTAATCACTAATCACTGTTCTCTATTTCTGTGATAATTGGATATAAAGACGCTTAAAAAGAGTAGTTAGATATTGGAAAGGAATCCTCGACTCAAAGTTATGAGCTCCTGGGTTTCATTTGCTAATAGCCTTTTCCAGAATTTTCTCACCTAGGAGTATTTAAGAATTACAGAAAACTATCTGCCAGTTTGTGTGTATCTA